ACACCACTAATTACCCCTCTCCATTCTGAGAATTTACCATTTATTCCTACCCTTTGTTCCCTGTCTTTTAACCAGTTCTCAATCTATGAAAGAATCTTCCCTTTTATCCCATGACAACTTAAATTACATAAGAGCCTTTGATGAGGGACCTTGTCAAAGGCTTTCTGGAAATCTAAGTAAACTGTGTCCACTGGATCCCCCTTGTCCACATGTTTGCTGACCCCCTCAAAAAACTCTATTAGATTAGTAAGACATGATCTCCCTTTACAGAAACCATATTGACTTTTGTGCAACAATTTATGTTCTTCTATGTGTCTGACAATTTTATTCTTTCTTTTACAATTTTATTCTTTTACAAGGCCAGTCCTTGCTTACAGACAGCCCTCCAACCTGAAGCAAATACTCACCAGCAACCACACACCACACAACAAAAACACTAACTCAAGGAACCTATCCTTGCAACAAAGCCCGTTGCCAACTGCGTCCACATATCTATTCAGGGGACACCATTATAGGGCCTAATCACATCAGCCACACTATCAGAGGCTCGTTCACCTGCACATCTACGAATGTGATATGTGCCAGCTATGCCCCTCTGCCATGTACGTTGGCCAAACCGGACAGTCGCTACATAAAAGAATAAATGGACACAAATCAGACATCAAGAATTATAACGTTCAAAAACCAGTCGGCGAACACTTCAATCTCTTTGGTCACTCGATTACAGACCTAAAAGTCACAATATTACAACCAAAAAAACTTCAAAAACAGACCCCAACGAGAGACTGCTGAATTGGAATTAATATGTAAACTGGACACCATTAAATTAGGCTTGAATAAAGGCTGGGAGTGGATGTGTCATTACACAAAGTAAAACTATTTCCCCATGTTTATTTTTCCCCCCCCCTACTGTTCCTCAGACGTTCTTGTCAACTGCTGGAAATGGCCCACCTTGATTATCACTACAAAAGGTTTTTTTCTCTCCTGCTGGTAATAGCTCACCTTACCTGATCACTCTCGTTACAATGTGTATGGTAACACCCATTGTTTCGTGTTCTCTGGGAATATAAAATCTCCCTACTGTATTTTCCACTGCATGCATCCGATGAAGTGAGCTATAGCTCATGAAAGCTTATGCTCAAATAAATTTGTTAGTCTCTAAGGTGCCACAAGTACTTCTTTTCTTTTTGTGGATACAGATTACCATGGCTGCTACTCTGAAGCCTGTCATTCTTTACTATTGTTTCAACTAATTTGCCAGGTACACACATTAGATTTATCGGTCTGTAATTGCCAGGATCACCTCTAGAGCCCTTCTTAAATATTGGCGTTACATTAGCTATCTTCCAGTCATTGGGTACAGGAGTTGATTTAAAGGACAGGTAACAAACCATAGTTGATAGTTCCACAATTTCACATTTGAGTTCTTTCAGAACTCTTGGGTGAATACCATCTGGTCCCGGTGACTTGTTACTGTTAAGTTTCTCAATTAATTCCAAAATCTCCTCTAGTGACACTTCAATCTGTGACAATTCCTCAGATTTGTCACCTACAAAAGACAGCTCAGGTTTGGGAATCTCCTTAACGTCCTCAGCCATGAAGACTGAAGCAAAGAATTCATTTAGTTTCTCTGTGATGACTTTATCGTCTTTAAGTGGTCCTTTTGAATCTCGATCGTCCAGGGGCCCCACTGGTTGTTTAGCAGGCTTACTGCTTCTGATGTACTTAAAAAACATTCTGTTATTACTTTTTGAATTTTTGGCTAGCTGTTCTTCAAACTCCTTTTTGGCTTTTCTTATTACATTTTTACATTTAATTTGGCAGTGTTTATGCTCCTTTCCATTTACCTCACTGGGATTTGACTTCCACTTTTTAAAGGATTCCTTTTTATCTCTCACTGCTTCTTTTACATGGTTGTTAAGCCACGGTGGCTCTTTTATAGTACTTTTATTATGTTTTTTAATTTGGGGTATACATTTAAGTTGAGCCTCTATTATGGTGCCTTTCAAAAGTGTCCATGCAGCTTGCAGGGATTTCAAGGTTGCATATGATACCTGGACGTACACAAATTTTTAACCGTCCTGGGACCCCACCTTCTCCTGGGATCCTTCCTTTGCCCACCCCACACAGTGCTGATGTGTTTTTTTGTTTGTCTATCTCCTCAGGATGTTGTTTTTTAATAAAAGAATTGTTTTGGTTTGAAAGTAATCTTTATTCCATTAATTGAAAGCAAACAGAGCCCTGCAAAGCAACAGGCAGTTTTCTTAAACCTTCATAGTGCATCGTCTGCACCAATCACAATCACCTCCTAACCTTACAGGCACTGCACTCCCAAGCATAGCAACAAATATTAGTGGCTTTCAGCTTCAAATTGCTGCCTCAAGGCATCCCTGGTCCTTATGGCTCCGCGCTGCGCCCAACTAATAGCCTTGGTCTCTGGCTGTTGAAATTCAGCCTCCAGGCGCTGAGCCTCAGTGGTCCAACCCTGAGTGAAGCTTTCACCCTTCCCCTCACAAATATTATGGAGCGTACAGCTTGCGGCTATAAGCATAGGAATATTGTCATTGGCCAGGTCCAGCCTCCCATATAGGCAGCACCAGTGGGCCTTTAAACAGCCAAAAGCACACTCAACAGTCATTCAGCACTTGCTCAGCCTGTTGAACCGCTCCTTGCTGCTGTCAAGGTGCCCCATCTATAGCTTCATAAGCCATGGCATTAAGGGGTAGGCAGGGTCTCCCAGGATCACAATGGGCATTTCGACTTCCCCTACGGTGATCATCTGGTCCGGAAAGAAAGTCCCTTCTTGCAGCTTCCTGAACAAGCCAGTGTTCCGAAACATGCGTGAGTCATGCACCTTTCCTGACCAGCCTGCATTAATATCGGTGAAACGCCCACAGTGATCTACAAGCACCTGGAGAACCATAGAAAAATACCCCTTCCAATTAATGTACCCGGTAGCTAGGTGGTCTCGTGCCAGAATTGGAATATGCATGCTACCTATCGCCTCTCCGCAGTTTGGGAAGCCCATTTGTGCAAAGCCATCCACAATATCACGCACGTTACCCAGAGTCATGGTCTTTTGGAGCAGGATGCGATTAATGGCCCGGCACTCTTCTGTCAACATGAGTCCAATGGTCGACTTTCTCACTCCAAACTGGTTAGTGACTGATCAGTAGCAGTCTGGAGTAGCCAGCTTCCACAGTTCAATCGCCTTATGCTTCTCCAACGACAGATCAGCTCTCATTCTCGTGTCCTTGTGCCACAGGGCTGGGATGAGCTCATCACACAGTCCCTTGAATGTGGCTTTCCTCATCCGAAAGTTCTGCAGTCACTGCTAGTCATCCCAGAAGTGCATGACAATGTGATCCCACCACCCAGTGCTTGTTTCCCGAGCCCAAAAGCAGTGTTCCGCTGTGGTCAGCACCTCCGTGAATGCCAAAGCAATCTTGTATCGTAAATACTATGCGTGGCAAGATCAATGTCAAACTCCTCTTGCCTTTATAGTTGAAGGTATAACTCCACTGCCACTCGTGACGTGTTAGTGAGAATGAGCAGCATATTGGTCAACAGTATGGGATCCATTTTTGCAGACTGAAGAGGCAGAGCGTGCAGTACACAAACCATTGAAAGATGGCACCACATGTGGACGGAAGCACAGGGATTGCTGGGATATGAATCAATGCATCACGGGGCATTGGGACAGGACCCAGGATGCCCTGGGACCCCCTCCGCCTTCCCACAACTCTTAGCGGCAGAAGAGGAAGAGATGCTCTGTGGGATAGCTGCCCAGAGTGCACCACTCCAAATACCGATGCAAGTGCCTCAAGTGTGAACATGCTATTGCACAGGTAGCTGACAGTGTGAACACACAACAGCAGTTTCCCTTCTGCACTCTCTGAGTGGCGCTGTAACTGACGGCAATGTAACTCTGCCAGTGTAGACATACCCCCACACTTCTGTGAATATTGCTGATAGCATCAGGATTAAGAAGAGAAATTTCCTTCAAATGAGAAACCTTTTTGTTCCACGGCAGTATAAAGTTTGAATTTGCTCTAATCTGGGCTATCTCTTTAATTTCAATAATTCAAGATGTTCAAATGAGAGGTAAAACTCCTGTGTCAAAGTGCCCAGTGTGATATTTGGAGGCATTCTTCAGCGTGAGATGGCATCTTTCAAATGTGACATAAAACTGAGCTTCTGGCCTGTCATAGAAATTTTCTGAATATTTGTATAAAGCACTTTAGATGTGTTCAGTGTGCAAACCCTTTCTCAATACAGGTAAACATAACAAACCATAGCATTTTCAAGAGGGTAGGGGTGTGAACCTTAGTATCATGGTCACAGTCTAGTTTGGGTAATTATGCTGTGTACCAAAAATTCTGCTATAATTAATCTGGCTATAATAATTTTCATTTCTTGTCCTAAATTGTTTCCTGGATTTTGCTCTGTGATGATAAAGCTGTTGCATTTCACCTAAGAGACAGCTATATTTTAGTAGTGAATTAAGTGATTCCTGTATATTTTATTAGCTTATGAGCTTGATCCTGCATATCCTTGATCATATGATTAATCTTGACTGTAGTCGGACTAGCCACACAGTAAAGATTTGCAGATCAGGCCTTTAATTTGTAAAGTACTTTGAATTCCTTGTGGTGGAATAGGAATAGGTCTCAGATCCTGTTGGTTGATTGTGGATGGAGTACCTTTGGTGTCTTGGAAGGATGGCAGGAAGACTTCTTTAAAGCAGCTGTAATATATTGAACATTATACGTTTCAGCTCTGGAGTGAAGAATGTACCATTATTTAGACAGAGATCATCTTTAAGATGCAATAGTAGCTGACATGAATGGGAAGAGGATTTTTTCCAAGGGATGGAATGGTGATAAACACATCCATAACCATTTGTGAATATTTTAAAGATGCAGAAGAGAAAACAAATGTGTTTTTAAAGGAAACATCACACTTTAGAAATTCAATTTTATTTTTTATTCTGTTCTCAGTTTTGGAAGGATATTGTCGAGGATAATGAAGTACGTGACCTCATTTCTGACAGAAACAAATCTCAAGGTGAGATGTCTTGAATAAACTGATTAGATAAGTTCTGGTAAATATAGAAAAGGAATAGCTAAAGTTGATTTTTTTCTTTTGTAGATGTTCCATCAGAAGAATGGATATGGGAATCCTTATTTCATCCACCTCGCAAGTTGGGCATTAATGATATTGAAGGGCAGCGGGTACTTCAGATTGCAGTGATATTGCGAAATCTTTCTTTTGAGGAGGGAAACGTTAAACTTTTGGCAGCTAATCGTACCTGTCTTCGGTTCCTGCTACTCTCTGCTCATAGTCATTTTATTTCTCTAAGACAATTGGGGCTTGACACACTAGGAAATATTGCAGCAGAGGTAAATATACTTTGGAGAAGATGCTACTTTAGTATTAAGTAGCTTGACTGATGTCTTAAATTTAATTATTTTTTTGTGTGTTTATTTGAAGTAGTAGTGAATAATTGCTTTGAATTTGCAAATAATAGATTTCAACAGAATGCACGAGGCTAGGAATCAGATGTAGAGTGGGGCCCCCAGTTTGCCTAAGCACAGTCATGTGAGGGAATGGAGTTGTGCGGGGGCATGTGATCCTTCAAATCATCTATGATTTTCAATTGAAATTCCGGGGCACCGGGGAATTACTTTAAAAATGAAAAATATTCATACAGGTTATACTTTATAAATCATAACTCCACTATGACAGTACAAGAATTCCTGTGTGACCAGATAATAGGTATCAATACACTGTTTATAATAATAAGTATGAGAAAACCAGGGGGACTTTGGGAAGGTCACATACACATGGGTATATCATCAGTGAGGGAGACTTTTTCTTTTCAAAGATATTTAGATGTAAGAAGAAACAGTAAACGGCCAACTCATTCCATTTTATGGCATTATACACCACCAATAAATATAAAGTTGGATATTGTGTATATATTGAAATCCTGTAATGAGTAAATAGTAGGGAAGGAGACACTGTAGTGCTCAGCTACTGATAGAACTCTGACTAGGATGGTGTTTTCATGGATCTCTGCATGGTCCTGGTGTGTGTGGGAGGGCCTTTGAGAGTGCAGTAGTGGTGGTGGTGGTAGCAGTATTTATCATAGTGCCTATGGACCCAAGTCATGGACCAGGACCCCATTGTACTAGGTGCTGTACAAACAGGACAAAGGATGGTGAAAGCCGCAGGGGGGAGTTCATCCCTAATCACTGCTACTGTTTCGCAGGGCTCAGGAAAACATTCATATCCATCCTGATGACAGCCTAGGAATTCAGTTATTTTCCTTACTGTAAAGACTCAAAGAAAAAAGAGAAGTTCAGAGCCTCTTCCCAAATACTTCAGAAGAGAAAAGGGTTAATGCAATTTAAAAAATAATAATTAAGAATTCTAGGCATTTAAAGCACAGTCTTACATGCTCACAGAAGTGACAACATATTCCAACATATAAAGACTTTTGAGCATTGAATTTGGTATGCAAATTTAAGAACTGTGACTATTATGACTGTATGTACAACGTGGACTGCAGCTTAAATAATGTTTTTTCCCTTCTCTCAGCTTTTGTTGGACCCTGTTGATTTCAAAACTACTCATCTAATGTTTCACACTGTTACAAAATGCCTAATGGCAAGGGATAGATTCTTAAAAATGAGAGGTAAGGTCTTAGACTGCTAATTTTTTGTAAACAGTTAAGAGAATGATTTTTGGCTGTTTAATACTGTTCTATATTTGTTTTTCAGGCATGGAAATCTTGGGGAATCTTTGTAAAGCTGAAGATAATGGTGTATTAATTTGTGAATATGTGGATCAAGAATCCTACAAAGAGATAATATGTCATCTCACTTTACCAGATGTGCTGCTTGTAATCTCAGCACTTGAAGTGCTATACATGCTCACAGAAATGGGAGAAGTGGCCTGCACAAAGATTGCTAAAGTAGACAAGAGCATAGGTGAGGAAGAAGCAAAACAAAATCTCATATTAGTTTATTTGTTGAGGAAAAAGAATTGACACAGTGCCACATTCAGGGATTCAAAAATTTTACTTTGTCAGAGTTTAGAAAATGTATGTGTTTGTACAGTTACTCCCCACTTAACATTGTAGTTATGTTCCTGAAAAATGTGACTTTAAGTGAAATGGTGTTAAGCGAATCCAATTTCCCCATAAGAATGAATGTAAATAGGGGGGGGTTAGGTTCCAGGGAAATTTTTTTTTTGCCGTACGGTACAGTACTATAGTTGGAAGGTGCCCCCGCCTTACCCCACACAGGTACAGCCCACTGGCACTGGAGACAATGAGGCAGGCAAGGAGGCTGAAGGTGCTGTAGAATAGGAGAAGCACGTTGTGCAGCAGCAGTGGCAGCTCCCCCTACTTTGCAAGCACTGGGGGGAGGAGGGGGGGCTCAACCCTCGTCCCGCCCACTTCACCCCTTCCCCCAAGCCCCGACCCTTAACCCGCCTCTTCTTCCCGCCCCACTCCCGCTTTACTCCGCACACCGTGTCCTCACTCCTTCACCCTCCCTCCCCTGCCTCCTGCCTGCAGCAGTCAGCTGGCTTGTGGCATTCAGGAGGGAGCGGGGAGGAGTGAGGACATGGCATGCAGGCTTCCGCTCCCTCCCCTGCCTCCTGCCTGTGCTCCTTCCCCCTCCCTCCTGAACGCCGCAATCCAGCTGATTGCCGTGGGCAGGAGATGGGGGGAGGAGGGGGGAGGTGCTGATCTGCGTGGTCTGCCGGCTGGTGGGAGGCGCTGTGGGAGGGGCGTAGGGGAGCTGATAGCGGGGCTGCCAGCTGTGTACGAAGCAGGCAGCCAAACGACGTTATAGCGAAGCATTGCACAACTTTAAATGGAGCATGTTCTGTAATGGAGCAGGGACATAAGATCGAAACAATGTTAAGCGAGAGGATGTTAAGTGGGGAGTTGCTGTGTATTATGTGCATATTGTTGCCGCATATTTACATAACTGAATTTTTATTTTCTCAGAGTATTAATGAAAATAGAGACCAAAGCAGGTCAGGAGTTTGCATTATATATCGGCTTTATATGCCATGAAAAATATTATGTAGAAATCCACAGAAATATGTGAGGGTTTGTTTTTCTTTCAGCAAGTGTCAGTTTAATTCAAATCAGTGTGTTCAGTACCAAACACTCATATTTGTTTTGTTGTAATATCGTTATTGGTTTTGCATTTAATGTTTTAGATACATTAGTATGTCTGGTTTCTATGGACATCCAGATGTTTGGACCTGATGCACTTACTGCTGTAAAACTCATTGAACATCAGAGCTCCAACCATCAAGTATCTGAAATCAGGCCACAGGCGGTGGAGCATGTTTCCTCACAGGCCCATGCAACAGCTGTCCCAGGTTAGTGCTGTTGTAGGAGAACATCCTTTTGTATTTTTGTAGAACATTCTTTATAGCATATGTGACTATCCATCTGTTTTTCTATCTGTAGCAGTATAATTGCGTGCATGTGTATAGCTATATAGCTGTGTGTAATTTAATGATTTACTTGTGCTTCAATATGTCAAATCAGACATGCATATTTTTAGTATTGTTGCTGGCAAAATGTATGTTAAGTTAATCTTTTTCTAATTGAATAAATATTTGGAACAATATTGGTCATTACATGAAAACACTCTGAAGTAACATGGAAAGAGTCTTAACATTTTTCAGCGAGCTTTCAATCTTGAAAATGTACACAATGAATATGTTACACATTTTTATTTAAAATTAACCTGTTCATTTGCATGTCAACAAAATATGTACAACTCACAGAGGGGTAGCAAGTCCATTTTGTGTTATATTCTGTGTGAATAGTAAGTAGGTGGCAGTATGTAAAATATGTTCTCAGTTAGTGTTTGGGTCAAATTCTAGGAAAATGGGCTACCAGATCTAATGGAATCATAGAAATGAAGATTGAAAAATAATTCTCATGACTGCATTGAAGCCACTAAACATTTCATTTGTGATGTGAGCCAAAGTTTAACACCTGCAATTAAAACTTAAAGGAAAGTTCATCCTTTGTTGAGGTCATTAGAACCTCAGAATGTACTTGATATTGTTGATATTGTTTAGTTGCAGAAATCTATTTTCAGAGTGAAATCCTGGCCCCATTGAAGTGAATGATAAAGCACTCTTTGACTTTAGTAGGGTCAAAATTGCACTCTAGATATTTAGTATCTTTTGACGCACACACACAGGGTTTTTAACAAGAAATTTTTTTGTTAAATTCATATACAAAATTACATTCTGCTGACCTATGTGGTTCCTCTTACAGCAAGTATAGGAGAAAAATGTCTAAATCAGTGCTTTTCACAAGTATACATTGCATATCAAGAAAGTTATGGGCATGGTTGGATCATGGCATCTACAGTGACTCATCCAATCCAAATGTAAATGTCACTCTCATTAATTAAACAACTGATAATACAATCAAGCGTGTACTTGCTTGTCCCAGTCCTGCTGCCCTCACTCCCATAACTTCAGTGAAAGTAAAACCTGCAGGATTTGGCTCATACTGGAGACCCAAGAGTCAAGTGCTTTCAGCCATTTGAAAAGTGTAGATCTTTGAAATAACTAATACACATCTTGACATAAGTTGCTGCTTTTAAAAAAATAATTAACTATTTTTTTAAAAATGTTCAAATTTAAAAACTCCCTCCCTCCCTCCCCTGCCAAAAAAATCCAACTCCACTACCACCCCCCCCCCCAGTTTCCCCCCCCCAATACTTAAAGTACCACTTTTTAAAGGCCCACACTGCCTTTGTGTGGTTCCCGGAAGCTCCTAAAGGGTGTAAACCTGAGACATGTTGGTGAGCTGCAACTCCCATTCAAGTCAGGGTCAGATTCAAAGACTCTAGTACTTCTGTTTCATTTCTGTGGCTAAATATAAACTTAAGTTTTTCCCTAGTATTTTTTCCCTTTCCCTCTTGGACTTAATAGACATTGTGGTTTGTTGGATTACCGACTCATTCAGAACCTTTCTCAGTTAATCAGTTTCTTCTTCTCAAAACCATTTTTTATAAAACATTGCAGTTCACAGTGACTTGACTCCAGAAAAGTATGAGCCATAAAATCTTGACAAACTTTTTGCTAGCCGATTGAAGGCCTTGCCCACGTTAGAGAATTTTGCTTTGATATGACTACATTGGTGGAGTTAGACAGGAGCAAACTCCAAATATAGATGTGCTGCACCTCTGTAAAGCAAGTTACTGGAATAAATTGTATTAATCATGTAAGTAGTGTAAGCATTCATGTACAACTTTACTTTTTAGTTACTGCTTTTTTATTTAATGGAACATGTTTGACTCTAATAGGACTATACTGAAATACCTGCATGATACTGAACCAGGTGACCTAGCGGTTTGGGTTGAAAGAGTTAAATTAATGTGGAAAGCATTGAAGGATGAGATAATTATATCCCAGTATCAGTCACATTTTCATTCTACAAAATAATAATTTCCCACTGCAAACTAAAACCTTAGTATTTGTGTTACTCACAAAACATATCTTAAGGCAGCATTAGTAGTTGTTTTACATTTCATTCTGTAGTCCTCTTTTCCCATGATTTGTAACTTTTTCAAAAGTTTGCCCTTTGGTGAAAACTTTCCAAGTTTGGTCTGCTCTTGAAGGTGTTTCTTTGTTTTGTTTTTAAGTTAACTTGAGCAGCTGATCCAATTTTAAGTGGTTGCAAGTTGCTTGCCTACTTTTAAAGAACAACTGAGACTTTTATGTGTTCAGAAAACTTGAAAGCGTTTTTATTTAAAAGTTCAAACATAATCCTCAACAAGGAATGTGATTTTCATATTTGGAAAAAAATTAGTTCAGAAATACTAAACTTACTACTATTTTGAAATGGTGCCCTGAGCATGTTTTAACATTTTTCTTAAGCAAAGAAGTGCTTGCGCAATTGGTGCATGAGCGCACATCCCCCCTCACCTCAGATGCACATAAACTGAAAAATAGATTAAGGGAGAGTAGTTGGGAAAACCTTATTTGTTCCCAGACCATCTCAGTATTCTGAATAATGATAGGGAATACTACAGCCAAAGGACCACCATTGAGAATGACATGCCCCTGATCGTTTGCATCAGCTGCATGATTCCTACTAATCATAAATGGGAGTGCTAGACAGGAAGATAGAGACTTACGGTAGCTAGGTCCTAGCATGTCAAAGTCTTTAAAGATTCGTGCCAAGACCTTGAAGCAGATATAGAACTCTGTGTAGACCTATTGCAGGTCATTGATCACCAGTGTAACACAGGTTTACAGGACTGCCTGTGAACTGGCCGCATGGGCAGGCCGCTGCATCTTGCAGTAGTTGCAGCTTCTGTTTGGCCTTTGTGGTCAAATCATTGCCGTAGTTCAGCACAGAGATGATGATGGCATGGATCACCAGGGCTAGGTCTCCTATTTGAAAGTGTAATTCATTTTTTATAAAGAGAATTAAGTAACATGGCAGGATTTAACACCCTTGGACAAGAGTGCATTGCTATTCTGTTGAAGCATCTTGATGTCATGTGCTTGAATCTTGCATAAAGATGTAGGCAATTTTTATTACTTTAAGGTCAACTCAAGTTGGTTCTGATTAGTTCCACCCTGGGATATAAGGTGCTAGAATATTTGAGCAGGCAGGAAGAATTGAGGAGGTAAGACAGAGGGGTCAACCAAGCTTGAGAAAAAGCAATATTTCTTCTTTGAGTGATTGGCTATATGTATGTGTCTGTATGTTGGTGCTCATGTGCCTCATGAACTTGAGATCAGAAGTATTTGGCCATCAGTGTCAATGGATCTGCACCTGGCCTCATACCCTTGACATATCCTCCTCCCGGGGAAGAAGGGTGAAGTGGACCAACTTGTTTCTCAGTTCCTTCTTACTGTCCATGGCTCTGGTGGTTCCTATTACTTCATTCCATCCTATCATAAAACCAGTTTCAAGCCAGGTGTGCAAGTCATGGTTTATACTAGTGCAGTACATTTAGACTAGCAGTTTGCACTAATACAGTTACACTAGTGGCTAAAAACCTTGTTGGAGACGTGTCCTCACACACATCTCATTACATCTTTGAAACAACTTGGCATGCATTTAAACAGAGTTGATTTAAAGCAAATCTGATCATTCAGTAATAAATAAGCTATTGCCTTTTAAGACATGGATGTGGGGAGTTCTTAAAATGTATGTAGTTATACTTTGTCTATGAATCTCTCTGTAGATGTAAGTAATTAATTAATCCTAACATTTAATTTTGTCAAAATGAACTTCTTTGGGGGAAGAGTGAGGGGAGAGATCTCTCAAAAATACAAAACAAATTTCAAATCAAATTTGAAACCGCTGAACTTCAGATGATCCTTTGTGTTGCCTGAGATGTTCAATTTTATAGGAAGAATCATCATTATATGTCAGCAAATTTATCTTTTTATTTCCTTTTCCACAGCATCAAGAGCAGCACAGCATGTTGCTCCACCACCAGGAATAGTAGAAATAGACAGTGAGAAATTTGCATGCCAGTGGTAAGTATACAGTTCCATTCAAATACTTTCTTGAGGAAGAGGGAAAAACAGCACAGAATATTAGTCACTTGACATGATACTTCAAACTAGTTGTTTTCTCTTTCTTAGAATATAATTTAATTCAATTACAAATCTAATCTTGCTGTAAAACTGTAGAGCAGCATTATATAACTGAACAGTATTTTCATCTTGTGCTACTGTAGCTATACAAGAAAGTGTTTCTCAAATTTTGAAACTAGATTTCTGGAAGGCTGGGATTTCATCAGTGGGAGACTCAAGCAAACCAGGGAAGATGAAAGACCTTTTTTTCCTCTGACCCCCCGCCCCATACTTGGTTTAATATTTTTACTAGTTATAATGTATGTTTGTACATCCAATAGTCTAAAGAATTGATCCCCAACTCGTAGCTCTCAAGTAGGGCTAGGGTGATTCCTCAAACTGGTGTTGACCTATACTTGTGTCTGCTCAAATTCTAAGTCTTTGGGTTGATCAGTTCCCGAAACTCTTCCACTTCCAACACTCCCCGCTTCCCTCGCGGGCAATGATATGGGTTAATACATTCACAAGATGGATCTAGTTCTTGAATTGATTCAGATATTCATCTATACACAAATGTCTTTACAGTGAAGTGGGGAGCATTTTACAAGAAGCAGAATGGTTCTACACTGAAAGTCTGTCATTTCACTTACAAGTTAAGCAAGGATTTTGACTGCACAGGAGTAGTTCTGTTGTAGATCCTAGCTGGTCAACTGAGTTGCCTCCTCTGCTCCTGCTTGTAGTTAGACACTTATATTGTGCTCTGTGTGAGGTATCATTAATATGAGTTATTGCTAGTTGATGCTAACATATGATGAGACTCTGAGCTTAGATACTACAGTGATACAGTTAATATAGAAAACCTCAGATAGAAGATTTTAGCTAGAAAATAGCAGCTAGTATTTGAAATCTTCATAATCCAAAATAAGTGGAATCTGCGTATTCCTCCTCTCAAACGGCGTATTCCTCCTCTCAAACCTGCTTCTTCAGAAGCCCATTGTATACAGCTATGAATTCTACAGGTTATATTTATACTATACTCTTTCTGCCTGGGAATTAGACAGTAGAGCAGTCTCACTGAGATGTGAAGTAATAATGCAGGAACAGTGAGCAATCAGTCTCCCCTGCTTCCCATGCTGCTGTTCTGCCAACCTCCAATCCTAGGAAAGGTAGAAAAGGAGCCACTGAAATCTTTCTGGCCCCCAAAACCAAAAAGGAATGATGCAGAATAGTCTCTCTTGCATTCAAGCAGGCAGGAATGGGCAGTTAAATCGGAGAAGGATTCCACAGATGCCACTTCTTATTCAGTAGTAGCCAGGATTTGGGGAACAGGAAAAACAGTATTTTGGTGGAAGAAGTAGAAAAAGGCAACAGAATCACTGTGCTATGCTGCAGTTGTGTAACACCATCAGATGACAAAATGTAATTAAACAAATGATACAATGCAATGTCAGAATGATCTGTAGTGGTTATTTTTTGTCTGATTCTGTGCTAGGTAACAAAGTGCTGGGTACTCTATAGTTATTTTTCTTTTTCTGAATTCTAAACGGAAGTGAACCAACAAGATATAAAACAGGTGGCCCTGTACACAAGCCTAAAATATAATACTAACCATGATATTTTTTCCAATGTTTTTCTTGGAGTTGAAGAATGGGAAATAGCTTTAATGCAAACACAATTGAAAGAGACTAACATGGAGGGGTTTTTACCCCTGTAAAATCTCTTAGTAAGTTTTTGTCACTGTCTCTTACTGAGAGAAGTTGGAAGGTAGTAAGTCATAATGAAAGAATTTAGAAATATTGCTATCACTTGGAAGCAGCAGAAGGACATGCTAAAGAGGGGCAATGTATTAAAACTAATATCCCTAATATTATAAGCCAACTGGGCCGGAATGAGGATCCCCTGCAAGGTAAGTGCACATCATGGTCTAATCACCAACTCCCAAATCAAGATTATGAGATACAGAACATCTTCTCTGACATTCAGTGGTCACAGTGATACTGGTGTGTGTCATGGGAGACTGACGCTGTTTTTAATGACAATCTGGTTAGAGAAAGCAGGAATATTGATTTTTTTTCATAATATCTATGCATTATTACACAGAATGTGGATTCAATTTTTGTAACTATAGTAAAAGTTTGGCAAAAAAAAAAAAAGGCATAATGTTTACTGGTGTTGTATTCTAAGTTCCCTGTAAGGTGTGAGGCTGCACAGCCACGCAGCAGCCTATTTAGCACCGCGCAGGCACTCAAGGAACCCGCCTGGGGACCTGCCACGGGAGGGGCACCCCTCCCCCGGCACCCCACCTAGTCTGGCCCCCAATCTGCTGCGACCGGGGCGCAGGGCGCCCCTTCCACAGCCCCAACTCTGCTGCGGTGTGGCCGGAGTAGCCCGGACCCAGCCACAGACAGGGTGCCCAGACCTGCTGGGGCGGCGCAGCCCCAGGTGCAGTCAAGGCAGCACAGCCCTGGCCCAGACCTGCTCTGTGAGGAGCACCTATCCTGCAACCCCAACCCCAGAGCTGCCGAGGCGGGGAGAGGCACCTCTCCCCCACAGCCCAGGTGCTGCTGCTGCCGGGGGAGAGAGCTGGGGGGAGTCTTCTCTCCCCACCATAGATCCTGAGCACCCTCCTGCACCGCAAACCCCTCATCCCGGGCCCCACTCCAGAGCCCACACCCCCAGACGGAGCCCCCTGCCGGAGCCCTCACACCCCAACCCTCTGCCCCAGCCCCACCCCAGAGCCTGCACCCCCCAGCCGGAACCCTCATACCCCTACACCCCAACACTCTGCCCCAGCCCTGAGCCCCTGATCTCTGGCCCCACCCCAGAGCCCACACTTCCAGCCGGAGCCCTCACCCCCATCACATGAATTTTGTTATGTGCACCAATATGAAGGTGATATGTCACACATCACCTCCGTATTGGTGCACATGACAAAATTCATTCTGCACATGGGTAGGAAAAATTAGAGGGACATAGCCTGGTTGTATTGGCTATGAAAGAAGACAACACTAAATTCTCTCATCTGCTTTCTTTCTCTTTAGAATTTCCAATTACATTCTGGTTATAGTACTTTTAGATGATGCTAAACAACAGAGAATACGGTGTGTTTTTTCAAATCCTATAGGTGATATAGATTGTACTGCTGACAGTTTAAAAAATATATTGATACTCTTTGAGCCTGCATGGCAGTGCAGATATTTTGGTGTTCTGTAGAGAGTTGTTGCTGTCTCCATTTGCTGTCAGAAAGGAACTATTTCCCAACTTTCTGAGCTGGCATAGAGGATCTCAAAGAAATAAAAATTACCAGTTAAGGAAAATATCCTTTTTTTTTTTTTTGGTTGGCTGTGCTTTTGTGGAGGTCCTTCAGGAACCACACATTGCTTCGCTCCCTGGGAATTTATTGATATTGCCTGGAGCATTGGCCAGAGCCGGTTGTTCGAGGACAACATGAGGCCTTCACCCTGCTTGCCTCCAGGGATGAATGTTCTGCCTCTGTAGCACTCCTATTCCCCTATGATCCTGGTAGTTCAGGGTAAGGTTGTTACTATATCTCTGATTTTCCTGTGTATTGCACTACATCTAGATTAGCAGATCAGTCTGAAAAACTTATTTTGACTTGTAAGGTCAGCAAATTTTTGATGGAAACCTTTGATAGAGAATGAGTATGCAGTGCTAAAGTATATCTGACTTTTGATCTAAAGTTTAAAAGATATAGTTTGAAGCCTTTAAATTTATAATTTATTTAACTGATAGACACAGTTGGGTGGGGTGAGCAGATGATTAAGGCTTATATGGCAGTGAGGAACTGAGCTGTTAATTTCCAGATATTCTAACATTTGTGGGTTATATGTAGTTTTTTTTTTCTTTTTCTTTTTTTTAAAGTTGTAGAATTTTGTAGAGAATATATAAAGTAGTTCTGGGGACTTCATTGAAACACATTTTCAATCTGAAATTTTCTCAGATAAGTTTTTGGTTTGTGAATATGTTACTAAGTCTTGCATATTATATATGTAAATAATAATCTCAACAGGATGTTATGTGATCGATTTTTGCCATGTATCTTTGTGCTTTTCCTTGTATTAACTTTGGGCATTGAGGTTTACATCGTGAAAGATAAAATTACGTTGTATTGAGGAGGTGTTTGATAGGAGAGTGCATTAAAATGCTGTTTTCAATATTTTAAATTAGCAGTGTTGTTACTGATTGTCCAAAATCCTTTACTCAGCCAGAGAGTAGCGTTTCAACCCTTTAAAAAATATTGTCCATGTTGCAGTGTGTTACATCATTTATTTTTCTTTCTTCATTTTCAGGTTGAATGCACATTTTGAGGTGAATTCAGATTGCTCAGTCTCTCGAGCGGAAATGTACTCTGAATACCTCTCAACCTGCAGTAAATTAGCTCGAGGTGGAATCCTAACATCAACTGGATTTTATAAATGTCTTCGGTAAGGTGAAAAGTCTAAAGAAGAATAAACAGGAGATTGTGGATGCCTAATGCTAATCTGCAACTTCAAACTTCTTTAGGGAAATACCTACTCTCAAATGAGTTTTAAAGACTGCTCTGATCTGTTAGCATTTGGAATTTTAAGTAAAAAAAAAAAAAGTTTGATAGTTCAATGCAATTATTTTGTTCTTTGTAAAGACTTTGTTAGAGCTTGCTGTATGTGTTTGGCCATATATTTCTTCCACTTTTAGCTTTTGGGGGTTACAGTTTTCATTTCTCTTGTCCATTGTAAATGCTAATTCTGGTGAACCTTTCAGCCCCCAAGGAGGTAGTCTTCTAAAAAAAGCATCTGAGCATCTCACTCTGGTGAGAAGACACATGACAGGCTGCAACTCTGCAGAAACAGAAACAGATGCTGTCACCAAATATTAGCCATTGAAAAATACTCTTCTGTTTGAAAAATAGAATGGAGATTTCCCATGCCCATTCCTTCTCTTTTTGGCAGAGGTTGAACCCTAACTGACTAACATTAGTATCCTGGATCTAGATTTTGCAGTTAGGTACTCAATGAAGTATTTGACTTCTTAGTTTTTGTATATATGTTTGTCTTTGTCCTCTCTACGTACAGAACAGAGTCAATGTGCTAAAAATGAAAAGAAAGAGGAAAAAAATAACACTGTGAAAGGACTGAATTTTTGTTATGTATATAGCTGTATGTTTGTGTTTGGCAGAACTGTCTTTCCAAATCACACAGTGAAGAGAGTAGAGGATCCAAATAACAACGGGCAGGCACATATACACGTAGTAGGAGTTAAAAGGAGAGCTATACCACTTCCCATTCAGATGTACTATCAGCAACAACCAACTTCTGCTACCCCTGTCGTCCGGGTTGATTCTATTCCTGATGTATCTCCGTCTCCTTCACCAGCAGGTTCTTTATCTTTTACATTATATTTTATGTGGCAGCCATTTTTGTTGCTTCTGAAACTAGGTAAAACAAAGTAAACTTCAGTGAAAAGAAGTTTTTAGAAACTAGTTGTTTAATTTTTTTGTTTAATGCTTTATAGTGTTGGATGATAGTGTTACTAAGTAGTATCTGGGTAGATACTGCCTAGCATTTGACACCTAATCCCTAAATTTGCAAGTCACCAGACAAGCCACTCTTATGTCCACCACTAATCCGGACATGCTATAGCTGAGTTTAGAAACTACTTCACTTGGCTGTAATGATAATTTCAAATTTGGGATTTTTGATTCTTTATATTTGTGTGTTTTGCTTTGAGGTGTGGGGGTGGGACTGTTTTGGTTTGGTTTGGATTTTTGCATTCAGACTTCTGATTTTTTTTATTTCGTTTGGGTCAACAGGAATCCCACATGGACCACAAAGTGTAGGAAACCATTTTCAGAGGACCCCAGTTAACAACCAGTCTTCAAATCTGACAGCAACACAGATGTCTTTTCCAATTCAAGGTGTTCACACTGTGGCGCAGACTATTTCTAGAATTCCACAAAATCCTTCAGTTCACACACAGCAACAACAAAACGCTACCGTGACTGTCATTCAGAATAAAACTCCAATTTCCTGTGAGGTAGTCAAGGCCACAGTAATACAGAGCTCGGTTTCCCAATCTGCAGTTCCTGTTACTATTGCTGTAGGTGGAGCAGCACAAGCTTCTAATCAAAATCACAGCAGTGCAGGACCACAACCATCTGTTGCTGTTGTCAGTTCTCAGACTTTGCTTCACCACCAACCTGTAATTCAACAACAGTCTCCACTACATGCAGTGGTACCAGGACAGATACCTTCAGGCACTCCTGTTACGGTAATTCAACAAGCTGTACCTCAGGGTCATATATTTGGCAGAGTACAGAACCTACCAGCATGCACTTCAGCAGTTTCACAGGGTCAACAGTTAATCACTACATCGTCACAACCTTTGCAGACTTCATCTCAGCAGCCCTCTGCTGGTAACCAGCAACAAGACACAGTCATCATAGCACCCCAACAATATGTCACAACCTCTGCATCCAATATTGTTTCTGCCACTACAGTACAGAATTTTCAAGTTGCAGCTGGGCAAGTGGTTACTATTGCTGGTGTCCAAAATCCACAAACTTCTAGGGTAGGGTTTCAGAATATTGCTCCAAAGCCTCTACCTTCTCAGCAAGTCCCACCTACAGTGGTACAGCAACCCATGCAGCAGCAGCCGCCACCATCCCAACAAAGTGTAGTGATTGTAAGCCAGCCAGCTCAGCAAGGTCAAACTTATGCACCAGCCATTCACCAAATTGTGCTAACTAATCCAGCTTCTCTTCCAGCTGGGCAAACTGTCCAGTTGACTGGACAACCAAACATAACTCCATCTTCCTCACCGTCTCCTGGACCAGTTACAAATAACCAGGTTCCTACAGTAATGTCATCTCCATCTACTACTCAGTCACAAGGACCCCCTCCTACTGTCAGCCAGATGCTTTCCGTGAAGAGGCAGCAACAGCAGCAACATTCACCCGCGCCATCACAACAACAGGTACAAGTACAAGTCCAGCAACAACAACCGGTACAAATGCAAGTTCAGCCACAGCAAGCTAATGCAGGAGTTGGTCAGCCTTCGTCTGGAGAATCTAGTCTGATAAAACAGCTGCTTCTTCCAAAACGAGGCCCTTCAACTCCTGGTGGTAAGCTTATACTCCCAGCTCCACAGATTCCTCCACCTAACAATGCAAGAGCCCCTAGCCCTCAGGTGGTTTATCAGGTGGCTAATAACCAAGCACCAAGTTTTGGAGTTCAAGGACAGTCTCCAGCTCAGCAGCTATTAGTTGGACAGCAAAATGTTCAGCTGGTCCAGAGTGCAATCCAGCCCCAAGGGGCAGTACAAACAGTACCCATTTCTAATCTACAAATATTGCCAGGCCAGTTGATCTCAAATAGCCCAGCAACCATTTTCCAAGGGACTTCTGGCAACCAGGTTACCATAACAGTTGTGCCAAATACTAGTTTTGCTACTGCAACTGTGAGTCAGGGAAATACAACTCAGCTCATTGCTCCAGCAGGAATCTCAATGAGTGGAACACAGACAGGAGTTGGGCTTCAGGTGCAAACACTTCCAACTACTCCAGCACCTCCAGCTGGACAATCACCATGTGCTGCTGCTCCTCCATTCAAAGGTGATAAAATAATTTGCCAAAAGGAGGAAGAAGCAAAGGAAGCAACAGGTTTACACGTTCATGAACGTAAAATTGAAGTTATGGAAAATCCCTCTTGCCGAAGAGGAGCTGTGAATACCAGTAATGGGGATGCAAAGGAAAATGATATGCAGGTGGGAAGTCTTTTAAATGGGAGAAAGTATAATGACTCCAGTCTACCTCCTTCTAACTCAGGGAAAACTCAAAATGAGGCCAATCAGTGCTCACAAGTCAGTAACGGGCCATCATTAGAATTGGGTGAGAATGGAGCTCCTGGAAAGCAGAACTTTGAACAAATGGACACACAGGAAATTAAAAGTGATTTGAAGAAGCCCCTAGTTAATGGAATCTGTGATTTTGATAAAGGAGATGGTTCTCATTTGAGCAAAAACATTCCAAATCACAAAACTTCCAATCATGTAGGAAATGGTGAGATCTCTCCAGTGGAACAAGGGAATTCAGATGTCATGCAGCAAGAGACTGCTAAAGGTGATCAAGGGGAAAGGATTTCTAATGGACCTGTATTAACTTTCAGTAGTTCACCTGTTGTAAGCGGTACACAGGAAGCTGCAAAACTGTTAACCCAGCAACTTAGTGGTACCAACACTGATTTACCTAATGGACCTTTAGCTTCAAGTTTGAATTCAGATGTGCCTCAGCAACGCCCAAGTGTAGTTGTCTCACCACAATCTACAGCCTCTGTTATACAGGGGCATCAAATCATAGCAGTTCCACACTCAGGACCTAGAGTGTCCCAGTCTACCCTGTCATCTGAAGTTCGGTCTACTAATGGCACAGCAGAATGCAAAACTGTAAAGAGGCCAGCGGAGGATAATGATAGGGAAACTGTTCCAGGAATTCCAAATAAAGTAGGAGTTAGAATTGTTACAATCAGTGACCCCAACAATGCAGGTTGCAGTGCAACTATGGTTGCTGTGCCAGCTGGAGCGGATCCAAGCACTGTAGCTAAAGTAGCAATAGAAAGCGCTGTTCAGCAAAAGCAGCAGCATCCAACAACATATATACAAAGCATGGTCACACAGGTAGGTTAAGCAAACTTTTTGTGTTTATTTTACCAAATATGGTTTGTAAAAGAAACAGATATGTCAAAATGTAAATTTGCTATTCCAATATTATCCCCCATGTGGGATTTCAAATCTTCATAAAATCACTGTTAGTGTGCTCCTACTTAAGCTGTTCTGATACTTCTCATTCTGTTTTTGATGCCAGTTATAGTAGTATAGTTTAAATTTATTTAAAAGGATTAAAGTCTAACAAATTGCAACTTGATTATGCATCAAGGGAAAACCCCTTGTGTTTACTTTTCTGTTATTTAATTGCTTTGTTATTTTGAAGGTTAAAAATAGTCCTTTGTATTTTAGAATCTTAAAATTATTTGTTTTATCATTTCTTGCTCTCAAAGTTGTCCATATCTTGCCTCCTCACTTAGAATAGGTGTTCTATTAGGTGGCAGTCTCTACTTTTGTGTAGTGTTTTATATTTTGTTCTTACACATTTTGTTAGTAGCTCACATAAGTATATTTCTGAGGAGTGAATTTCAAATTATTTCTGTATATATATTATAAAATGTCTCAGTTGCTTATACTTCTACCATTGTCCTCGAGCTTACTGAAAAAAGTTAAAGTTTTTGGGTTTGGAGATCCGTAAAGGATAATAAATGTTTGTTTAAATTTATTCCAGTCAGTAGAAAATAGAGTTTGTCCATTGGTCAAAAAGGATGCAGTTTCTTTCCACCATAGGTTCTGATTCTGCAGTCCTATCTGATGGACTCTACACAGGCATAATAATCTGTTGCATGGATCAGGTTGGAGGATAGTGGTCTTAATTTCTTTTTGAGATTAAATTTTATTTACCTTTATAAGTGCAAGCTTCCTCGTACCTCACCACCAGTGTAGGCTATAGTATGTGTCCATTCTTAATATGACATTTAGCACCTACTGTACTATTGTAAATAGGAGTATTCCAGTTTGCACATCTCAGTACCATTTTCCAGGAAAATTCCTGATTATATTCAAAATTCTTACATTCTCTAGTTATTTTAGCACAGCATATGGTCAGAAAATCCCTTAATTTCATGTATGGATAATTCATTTTAAGAAACTGTTTCATATTCTGAATTAGAGCAAAAGAGATATTCACTAATTTGAGGGTGGTAAGAGGAAGACAGATTGTGGAAAGAGAGGGAAAAATCAGAGAAAAGTTTGTTTGGGTTAGTGTTCTTAGGCATTGAGTTAATAAACTTTTTTTACTTGATACTCGTTCATTTTTAGTATTTAGTAGATGCAGACTTATGGACACAAACAGAGCTATAACTAGAATCCACTTAAGCGGATACCTGCTTAATCAGGGTGGTACTCCTGCACTGTCATTAAGTTAGACTTTTACTGAAATCTGTCTGATGCCTTAACTCTTTAGACAAGAAATCTCTTTAGGTAATGATGAATAATTTTCTTTTAACTGTGAGAATACTTTGTGAAAATTTTGCAAATCTAAATGAAAATCAAATATGTATATTATTCTGATTGACACATGATCTTTGATTTGAATAAAAGTTGTTTGATGACAAAAGAAAATTGCCAATGTGTAGCATATGGGTTCACCAGATTTTGGTAAGTAATATCTTTTCCCCAAAATGGATACATTAGCTATGCATTGCTTAGAGTACAGAGTGTGGGTGGTTTTTGGTGTTTGTGCAGTTTGGGGGTTTTGGATGTTTTTTTTTGGTTTTTTGTTTGTTTTGTTTGGTTTTTTGTTTTTTTGAGTACCCTCATTAAAGATCCGATCAATATAGAAAATGTTGAACTGTCTTATCAAGGATTGACCTGATTGTTTTTAACTAAAATAATTGACTGTGGATATTTATGCCCTAGACACATAGCTGATCCGAATTAGAAAATGTTTCTCAGAACTGTTAACAGACAGTCATTCTTTAAGATTGTTGAGGAAGAGAGTGAGAGAAAAATATGTATGATTTTTTTCCCATTTGAAATATATTACTTGTGGGTCTGCCATACTACTGCTATACACTTAAAAAAAAAAACAACAAAAAAACACCCCATCCTTTTTTGAGGTAGTTTTTATTCTTCTGCCTCATTCTTAAGGCTAATATTTCGTCATGGATATTTTTAGTAAAAGTCATGGGCAATAATGAAAAATTCACAGAAGCCCGTGACCTGTCCCTGACTTTTACTAAAAATATCCATGACAAAATGGAGAGCCTGGGCAGCTCCAGGGGCCCTCTCTGCTGGCGGCTCTGAGTTGCAGGGAGCACAGCCTCCTGGGGCGGCAGGGGAGCGACCGGGAGCTCTGGGGGTCCCCCTGGCACCCACGGAGATGGAGAGCTCTGGGGGCCCACCCTGCCACCCGTGGAGGTGGCTGGGAGCTGCGGGGTGGCCAGGAACTCTGGGGGTCCCCCTGGGTAACATGGAGGCGGAGAGCTGCGGGGTCCCCACTGCTGCCCATGGGGTGGCTGGGAGCTGTGGGGTCCCCCCCGCCTCCCTTCGGGGCGGCCGGGAGCTGCGGGGGGGTCTGCCTGCTGGCACTGGCTGAGGTCACGGAAGTCTTTGGAAGTCACGCATTTCGTGACCTCTGTGACTAAATCGCAGCCTTACCCATTCTCATTCCCCCATTATTCCCTACTGCATTTCTCCAACTTTCCACAGAATCATGCTGCCAACCGCCTTTGTCAAGTGAGATAAAGGAACACACAAAACCTCCACTGAAGCTTCTATTAGTTAGTTTGGTTGATAAACAAAGAAACTCAAAAGATGATTTGCTAAAAAGAGGTTAAAATAGGGAAAGAACACATTAAAAATTACTTAGACTAGTTAGATATCTTCAAGTCACCAGGGCCTAATGAAATACATCCTAGCATACTCAAGAAGGTGACTGAAGATATCTGAGCCATTAGTGATTATCTTTGAAAAGTCTTGGAAGATGAGATTCCAGAGCATTGGAAAAGGGCAAATATAGTGCCCATCCATAAAAAGGAAAATAAGGACAACCCGGGTAATTACAGACCAGTCAGCTTAACTTCTGTACCCAGAAAGATAATGGACCAAATAATTAAGCAATCAATTTGCAAACACCTAGAAGATGATAAGGTGATAGGTAACAGTCCATATGGATTTGTCAAGAACAAATTGTGTCAAACCAACCAAATAGCTTTCTTTTACATGGTAATAAGCATTGTGGATAGCGGGAAAGCGTTAAGACTTGGTATATCTTGACTTTAGTAAGGGTTTTGATACTGTTGCACATGACCTCATAAACAAACTAGGGAAATACAAACTAGATGGAGCTAATATAATGTGGGTGCATAACTGTTTGGAAAACTGTTCCCAGAGAGTAGTTATCAGTGGTTCACAGTCAAACTGGAAGGGCATATCTAGTGGGGTCCCACAGGGATCAATTCTGGGTCTGGTTCTGTTCAATATCGTCAGTGATTTAGATAATGGTGTAGAGAGTACACTTATAAAGTTTGTGGACACCACAAGTTGGGAGGGGTTGCAAGTGCTTCGGAGGACAGGATTCAAATTCAAAATGATGTGGATAAACTGGAGAAATGGTCTGAAGTAAATAGGATGAAATTCAATAAGGACAAATGCAAAGTATTCCACTTAAGAAGGAACAGTCAGTTGCACACATACTAAATGGGAAATGATTGCCTAGGAAGGAGTACTGCAGAACGGGACCTAGGGGACAGAGTAGATCACAAGCTAAGTATGAGTCAACATTGTAACACTGTTGCAAAAAAAGCAAACATTATTCTGGGATGTATTAGCAGAAGTGTTGTAAGCAAGACACAAGAAGTAATTCTTCCGTTCTACTCCGCACTGATTAGGCCTCAACTGGAGTACTGTGTCCAGTTCTGGGTGCCTCATTTCAGGAAAGATGGGGACAAATTGGAAAAAGTCCAGAGAAGAGTAACAAAAATGATTACAGAAAACATGACCTATGAAGGAGAAGTGGAAAAGCGGCATGATCTATGAAGCAGCATTACCTATGAAGGAGAAGCGGAAAGCAGCACGGGCCACAGGGACGTGCTGGCTGCCGCTTCCTGCAGCTCCGATTGGCCGGGAATGGTGAACCGCAGCCACTGGGAGCTGCGAGGAGCTGTGCCTGCGGACAGTCAATGTAAACAAAATGTCTCACAGCCTGCCAGCAGATTACCCTGATGAGGGCATGCCGAAGGTTGACGACCCCTGTTCTAGGCTTTACAGTGACACATAGGGTGACAATCCTGGAATCTTATTATATAGATATAGGATTTGATTTTGTATTTAAATATCGTGTTTATTGGATTGTCTCAAACAGGCGCATGTGACACACATGTCATTGCTTAAAGGTGTTTATCTCTATTTGCATCTGCATTTAGCCAGTCCTAGGTGTAGCCTGAAGGGTGGAGGGAGCTGGCATCTTACTTTGGTGGCTTTCTCTCCCTTTATTTATATGTTTTCTGTTTATGGGTTGTTACTTCCCTGAGGCATTGTGCTGGACTGGTGCATGAAGAAGGAAAAAGAAATGAGTAATTTACTTACGGCTTTTTTTTTTTCCAAAGCTCCCACAAAACATTTGTTGAACATAACCAAGTTAGTTTGTCCCAATTGGCTTTATAGAATGCTCTAATGTCATGTCAGATGCTTGGATGGGAGAAAATTACACTTAATTACCTATGTGGCTTTTTAAAAAAATCAGTCCCTCCCTCACCATCCTCACCCCCTCATAAACAGACACTTCCATTTTTCTTAAGGCAGCCCACTTATAACATCCTTGAGTGGGAAGCAGGCTGCTAAAATTGTGAGCAGGAGTATAAACATTGGCTCCAATCTTCCATTGATCAGTAGGCTGAGTTTCCATGCACCAGAAACCAGGTGCATAGCCCCAGGAGACATAATTCATTCCTATCCACAGAGCAAATGAACTGCTCAGCTGGAGCTACTAAAATACAGAAGCTCTTCATTTGGTTGTCATTCACTCCTGAAGCACACTGATGCAATTAGATTTGAACTTCAATAATCTA